AAACGTGATCCATACTTCTGGATAAATAAATGAATTATTTAAAAAATATTATTTTTATTTAATGACCGATTTATATTCACAAAAAACCAAAAAAAATCCACGCCATATAATTTACAACTTATGTTTTTTTAATAACGTTTATAAATGTTAAAATGCATACTTTAAAAAATATCAGGCGGTTACCAATCGACAACATCAACACGCCACAAATTATTATTATTATCATTGTTATTATTTATATTTTATTATTATTATTATTTTTACAAAAAAAAAAAAACGGGGAAATTTCAAAGGGGATACATATTTCGTTCGGGCAATGAGTAATAAAAAAAAAAAAAAAAAAATTTTTTTTTTAAATCATTCATTATTATTATTATTATACTTTCCCCCGAGTAATAATTAAAAAAAAAAAAAAAAAAACATTTCTTTCGGTAATGATGACGACGATGATGATGATGATGATGATAATGATGATGATGATTTTTTTTTTTTCATGTTAATAAAGAAACAATCACGACGACGCATTTTTTTTTTTTTTTTTAATAACTTTAGTTAATTTAGTTCTGTAATTGTAAACTTGAAAAAAAAAGAAGGTGAGAAAAGGAGGGCGAATATTTAATCGTCAGGAATGTCACGTTGAACTAATTATTATTATTATTATTATTATTATTCAGACAGTTGCTAAACCAGATTATTCGGTTTCTTTATTTAAAAAATCATATCTAAAAGTATTTGACCGATGAATGTATATCATAAGTTTTCATTTCATGGATTTTATTTTGATATTTTAATTTCAAGTAAATAAATAAAATAAAATAAAATAAAAATTATATGTTACAGGTTCATCAAGGTTATTAGTTCTTCAGGTGTGAAAAAAAAAAAAAATGGTGGAGAAAAGAAAGCTATTAGCCGTGTTTTTTAATATTAACCGTTCCAGTTTTTTTTTTGACAAATTTATATGCAATGTCACGGACCAATCGATCGATGGTAAGTGACGCAATAATTTTTTATTTTATTTTTTTTTTTTGTTATACTAACGAAGCAGAAAATTTAAAAAGTGTGTGTGTGTGTGTGTGCGTGTGCGTGTGTTAAAGCCTTTTACGACCTTGTGCCTTTAATCCTCGAAAAAAAAATTAAGGATAAAAATACAATAAGAGAGAAAAAAAAAAAACATTTTGGGCGGGTCTGCAAAAATTCTATATTTAATTTTTTTAATTTGTTTCATTTTTAGTCAAAGTCATTTTCAAATTATTATTATTATTATTATTATTATTATTACCCTATGAGAAGGACAAAAAAGAGGGGGGGAGGGGGAAAGGAGGAAGGAAAATATATACAAACAATCGTGAAACAAAAGCATCAATTAAAAAACTAAAAACAATTATCATGGAATAAATATGTCATTTATTGTTACGTCGAAGGTAATATTCAATCTATCGATCTATCGATCGATAGATCGATTGATCGATAATTAACTAAATTTCGATTAACAATGAATATAAAAAAAAAAAAAAAAAAAAATGGGTCACCGTGAGTCAAATGTCTTTTCATTTAATTATACAAAGTCATCATCACGATTTTAAATTTTCGATAAGACGTTTAAAACGTTATAACCCGTAGAAATTTTCTTTCAAAGGCGGAAAAATTTAATAATATTAATAATAATAATAATAATATATACCTGTAAAAGCTCGAACGTGAAAATACGAAAAACGTGAATTTATTATTATTATTTTTTTTTTTTTTAAGGTTGGATACCTTCGGTTGAATTATCAGAGTGCAAAAAAATAAAACGAAGATAAAATCGTTATGAAAATATCAAAAGATTATTATTATTATTATCATCATGTCTGGAAAAATGGAAGGAGGAAAATGCTGGCTGGAGAAAATCTTATCGTTGTTGGGTAAGTTAAAAAAAAAATTATTATAAATCAAATTTCCGGTTTTCTTTTTTTCGGATTTTTTTTTTTTGTTGTTTTTCGTGCAACTTTCTTTTGTTTTGGTATTATTATTATTATTATTATTATTATTGAAACCGCACGTGTGATAATTGAAATTATATATATGTTTTTTATTCAACGCGTGCGTGCGTGTGTAAGTGTGTGAGTGCGTGTGTTATGCGCGTGCATGCGTGTTTGCCCGGATACATTTAATATACTTTCGAATAATTGATCCGTAAAAGAAATCTAGTAATCTTAATAATAATAAGAAAAAAAAAAATTAATAGTCTTAACATTCATTACCCTCCTCTTTCTCTCTCTCTCTCTCTCTCTCTTTCTATCTCTTTCTCATTTCTCCTCATATAAATAATAATAATAATAATATTAAAAATTTTTCTTTTTATGCGTGAATGGTTTAAAAAAAAAAACGCGAACGAGTTTTATTTAAAAAAAAAAATTGATTTATGAACCGGAAAATATAAATATGTCTTCCTTTCTTCACTCCCCTTTGGCCCGCCTCCCCCCCACTTCCCCCTCTTTCCCCCTTTCTCTAATACGTATCAGAATTTAAAAAAAAAAAAAAAACTCATTTGTGTGCTGCCGTTATTACTATTTTGCTCTTATCACGCATTCGTTCGCATCGTGATGGCATTTTGATAATTGCAAAATTTTCATTTTTTTTTTTTTTTTTAAATACATTCCATCGATTTCTATTTGTTCGAGGTGTGAAAAGTCACGAGATATTTAAAATTCTTTCTTTTTCTTCACCTCTTCTCCTCCTTCTCCTCCTCTAAATTATCGTTCCTCTAGGGTGATTCAAATCTTCCCGTTCGGCGAACGAATTCACGTTTACTATTATTATTATTAAAATGGAGGACGATGTATATACAATTAAAAAATAAATTTCGATTCCAAGGATTATTACAATCGGTATTTCCGTTTCCTACCACCACCACCACCACTACCACGTCTACCCTTTTATTATTTTATCGTTACGCCCTCGTGTGTGTGTGTGTGTCACGGCTCTGACGTCAAAAAATCAATTATTTATTTGATATGTGTAATATATGTATATATCTGATATAATAATAATAATAATAATAATAATAATAAATCATTATTACGTTACGTAACATATATTATTATTATTATTAACGGTATAAATTGAAATTTAAACCTCAATTTCGGCGGATGTAAAATATATATATTCGTAAATAAAAAAATATATAATGTATCAATAATAATAATAATAATAATAAACAATGGCGTTCGCAAGGTTGAACATCTCACGATTATTTTTTCGATTGAATTATAATAAATATTTAAAAACTTGAACTTTGACAGAGTACAATATGGAGTTTGTACCTTTTTTTTTTTTTTTTTTCGTATTTTTGCGACTCGTGATAAAAAATTTTTAAAAATTAATTAATTAATTAATTATAGGTAATAATCGATTATTGATAATTAAATAATTTTTTAATTGTTTAAACAAACGGGGGGGGGGAATTTTTTGGGGGATACAACCACGAAATGTATAAAGTTAAAGTTGTTAGCAAGTAACACTATTTTATTTAAAACTACCCACGAGTTTTTTTTTTTTTTAAAATTTTTCCGGGTCATGGTTTTCCTTGAAAACATTTATGCGGGCGCGAGGTTCACGGTTTTCAATTCCTTTAAAAAAAAAAAAAAATTTTTTTTTTTTTCTTAAATTAATTTTTTGTTACATTAAAGCGGTAAAAATGAAATCACCTTTTTTTTTTTAAACGGAATTTTGGTGATCACTCTTTTTTTTGGGGGGGAGGGGGTCGGACGTTGTAGAAAAAAATATTATGTGAAAATTGTTAGAAAAAAAATTTAATTTGTTTTTAAAGAGAGATAGAGTGAAACACACACACACAGAGAAAGAGAGAATGAAAGAGAGAGAGAGAGAGAAATGTAAGCAGATGGAAAGAATTAGAGAGAGAAAGAAAGAGAGAAAGAAATATACACAGAAAGAAACAAAGTTGTATGGAAAGAGTAGAGGAAAAGAGACAGAGAAAGATACACACACACATACACACAAACAAAGAGAAGGAAAGATATACGTAAAAAGAGAGAGAGGAAAAAAGAAAGATATAGAGAAAGAGAGAGAGAGAAAAAAACGGGAAAAGCAAATATAAGCAAAAATATCGCAAAAAAAAAAATTATTATTTCAATATTAGAAAATTCAAATTTCATCGATCGATCGATCGATCAATCGTCGATAAAAAATTCGATTTACAGCCTTATTTTTTCAATCATAAAAAAAAACAAATATGGCGTTGATTTTTTTATTATTATTTACCCTAAGGGATCGCGAGATGCATGCGCGAAAAAAAAAAAAAAAAACATTGACACGCCATTTTTATTTACCCAAAATTAAAATGGCAGTTGAATT